GCCCCCTGCACCACAACTACTGAGCCTGCGCTCTAGAGCCTGTGTGCCACAACTACTGAGCCCGTGTGCCACAACTACTGAAGCCAGCACGCCTAGAGCCTGTGCTCCGCAACAGGGGAAGCCACCACGGTGAGAGGCCCACGCACCGCCACCGCAACGAAGAGTAGCCCCAGCTCGCCGCAGCTAGAGAGAGCCCACATGCAGCAACAAAGACGCAATGCAGCCAAAAATAGATAAATAATAAAATAAAGTAAATTTTTAAGAAGGAAGGGAGGAGGGAGGGAGGGAGGGAAGGGGGAGGGGAAAGAGGGAAGGGAAGGGAGGGGGAAGGGGGAATGGGGGAGGGAGGGGAAGGGGGAGGGGGAATGGGGAGGGAGGGGGAGGGAAGAAGGGGGGAAGGGGAGGGAGGGGGGAGGAAAGGCAGCCCAATGGGGCTCCAGAACTTAGACTCTGTCTCCCTAAGTCTGCGCCCATCACAGGCATTTCTGTCACCCTTCCCGGGCCTCAGTGGGTCCTTTGCAGTGGAGGGTTGAGAAAAACAGCGCCCATGGTCAACGTTTTAAAGCAGACACAAGGCTTTGCCCCTTTGTCCCGTGGCTCCTCCTACCGCCCTTCCCAGTGAATGCTGTCGGCGTTTCCATTCTCAACATGAAAAAAGACAAACTTTGGAGCGAGTGAGTAGCGGCCAGAGGACGCACAGCCCATAAACCGAAGTGCTAAGACTGGAGCCCAGGGCTTCGGCAGGGCCTCCGTCGGGCACCCGGCACCGCGCCCGCCCTGCCTGCTGCCTGGTGGGCACGGTACACGCGGAAGCCGTCGGGTCGAGCCCTCGGAAGGGGAGAGGCGGGGCTGGCTGGGCGGGCCGGGCGACTTTGCTCTGAGCCGGGCTTTCTTCTCCTCTGCCCGCCGCCCACCCACTGAGCCCGCAACACCGCTGCCGGAGCCCAGAGGTTTCCTTTTTCTTTCGCCCGGGGCTGCTTCCTGCCTTTCTTTTGAACTGGGGTGTTGGCTCCCTGACACGCTCGCCCTCCTCCAGCGACCCCCCCACCGGGCCTGCCCCGTGATGGGCCAACTCCGCCCCCCACCCCGGCTCTGCTTCATAGAAAGGCTGGCACCCAGTCCCTAGGGGACCCTCCTCCTGGAGCGGCTCCCCGCTCTCCCCGGGGGAGGTCCTGCGCCAGGACAGGAGGCTCAGAGCCCATCTCCCCTGCGTCTCCGGCCCTGTTTCTCAACAAAACCTGTGCGCATTGTGGTCTGGAAATGTTCTGGCACGGGCTGAGGGTTAGAACTCAAACCCCGAGTTTGTGGGGTGGGGAGAAGCTCAGGCTCTTAGAATCTATTAGAAAAGGACACGGAGGCCTAGCCCGGAAAGGGCGGCCTCCGAGGTCCAGAATGAGAAGAGGCCCATGGATCTCCCAGACGCAGCCCGCAAGGCCGCCATCCTCCCTGGAGCCACATGTTTCTCTGCTTCTTCAGACGACAGGCCCTGCAGGGACCAGCCGCTGCGCTGGGGAGCGGGCTGGGGTATCCCACCCGTTGCTGCCTCACCCCCCTCAAAGCTCTGCGTCCGCACTGGCCAGGAAAAAACTAAAACCTCTCCAGGCCCCAGAGGGTTCCTCTCGGCTCCCCGCAGCCACTCTCTCCTCTCTCATCCCCCAACACACAGACGCGCCCATCCCGCACTTCCTCCTCCAGGAAGACCTCCCTGACTAACACTTCTTGGCCCCAGTCACCCTAATAACAACACCACTAACACTGGGCTCTTCCCAAGGGCCGGACACTGTGCCAAACCCTTTACAAACATCGTCTCAGTGAATTCAGACAACAGCCCTGCGAGGCAGGCATGAGCTCCATTTACAGATGAGGAAACTGGCCCAGGTCACCAGCTTGTGAGGACTGCGGTCCTGCTCTGCCATGACCGGCACCTGTGCTGGGACCCCCGCTCTCCCCAGCGCCCTGCCTCCGTCTCATCACCCCCAGGCAGCGATGAGTAGGATGGAAACTACCCAGAATCTACACACACGCTGCGTCTGACCTTTCGTCGAGGTCAGCGGTCGTCACAGCAGCCTTACAGGGAGTAAGGTCCCAAGGAGGCAGTAAGCTGCCTGACGGCAGTTGCGGAGCGGGGAGCCCCCTTCGTCCCGGCGGCAGAAGGTGATGGAAATGGGTGCTGAGGGGTCAGTGCAAGTGAACGAGCCTCAGGCCTTCTACAAGCAGCTCGGCCCCCCACTCGCTTCCTGTCTCTGCTCAACTCTGGGGGCAAAGGAGGGACTCAGAATACTACCCAGATTCTCCAAGTCAGGGACAGCCCTGGGTACTGCCAACAACACGTGTATATCTCTGTCCCCTCGCTGTGCGGACGTGGGACGGGATAGAGCGAGGGCCGCCCCACCTTCCGGGTGCCCCAGAGCCGGGGGTCCGTGTCTCCCAGGTGAGTTCCAGGGAGGACATCCAAACCCTCATGAGTCCCCACGAGCCTCACTGAGACCACGGGTTGGAGAGACGCCAAGGCCTGTGGGTGTTTGGCGTCGGTCCCTTCAACACAATCAGCCGGGCGTCGGACCCTGAGGGAGCGTCGTCTTTGCAGGTGAGGGCAGAGCAGAGACGCAGTGGGACCAAGAGAGCGGGGTAGCGGTGGGCAGCTCTTTGCACGGGCTGGGTGTCTCCTGGAGCCCCGAGTTCCCTGGTGCCCCCTACGGCTCCGTCTCTGGCACCTTCTGAAGGTCTTCAAGGGCGCCCTCTGACCGGCCGCCCCCTGTACCTCCACGTGTTCTCATCTGACCTTTCACCTTCTCCTCCACGTCCTCCCACCCCATCCCCAGTGTTCACAGCTGGCTGGACCCCGAGCCCCATCCGGAGCAGCCAGGCACTGACTGAAGCCAGCACCCCGCAGTCGCCTCCCCTCGTCCCGCCACAGCCTGTTCCCTTGGGCTCTGCGCTCACCCCGGGTGCCATTTCCTCCCGCGTGAGGGTTCAGGCACTGCTCGTATGTGTCACGCACTGTGCCGGGGAGTTTACATGACACGTCGCCTCACCTAGCCTGCCCACCACCCACTTGTCCCCACGTACAGACGAAGACCCCGAGGCTCAGAGGACTCGGGTGACTCCGTCAGGGGCAGAGCTAGGAGGGGCCAGGGCTTGGGTGGCCCAGACGAGAGGCCCTGCGGGCCCCAGCAGCCAATGAAAGTGTGGGCCGTCCTCGGCCGGAGCTGGGCCACTTGGGGCTGAACTGGCATATCCTCACTTTGCTGAGGAGGGAAGGGGGCGGCCCTCACGCCCACCCTTCCACGGTGCGTTTGTGCCTGGGCCACTCTCCAGAGAGGCAGAGAAAGGAGGCCCACCGCCCTGCAGAGACGCTCCACTCACCACCCAGACAAGACCCTGCGTGGCCAAGGGGGACCCTGCATCTTCCCCTCCCTCCAACATTCCAGGGCCTGCTGCTGAGGTCCCCAGGCCACGTGGGACCCTCCCTCCTACCCTGGGATGCACAGGCTGAGTCCTGGGAGAGAGGGGCTTTCTCAGGCCCCAGGGAGACTCAGGGTCGGCTCAGAAAACCCCAGATGCAGACATGACAGTGCCAGGGGAACAGTGACGAGACGGTGGGGGTAACCCTCCAGCAGCGTGGATTCTGACGGCGACACTGTCCTCTTTTCCCCAAGTCCTCCTGAGGAAGGATGGGTCTGGGGAAGGAGGTGGGACCAGTGAGCCCCTCAGCCTGAAAAAGGGAACTTTCTCCTGCTTCCCCAGAGAAAGGCTCCACAGAAGTCATTTCCAAATTCTTTTTAGCCACAGAACCCCGTCTTCAAATGAGGCAATGTCCCACCCGCTTCACCCACACACATGTAAAACGGCTGAAGGGGAGCTGCCCTGGTCTCATTTAGTTCAACAAATACTTGCCTGACTCTACAAACGAGCTCCTGTTTCCTCAGAGCCCCCAGGCCCTGGAGCCCAAAGCCACAGAGCTCCGGGACAGATGGCCCAGACTCTCCTCCTCCGAGAAGAGGTCATGGAGGCCCAAGGCGGGGCTGAGCCAGGAAGCCTTCCTCTCCCCAGAGCAGGGGGGAGGCAGGTGGTCTGGAGTGTGCACTCACTCCCTCCTCCTGCCCAGGTGGCCAGGCCAGAGCCCCCAGCCCTCAAGCCCCGAGGGGCAGCTGCCCCCAGTGGGGTCCACTTCACACACCATCTCACCCCAACTCAGACTCTAAAAACAGCTCTTTGGTTTTCAGCTTGGCACTGCCCACAAATTAGTGTTTCCAACACGGCCTCTTGGGACGTGACTTCAGGGAGGCCCCTGGGGAGCCAGAGGCCTCAGTGGAGGGAGATGGAGCCAGCAGGGACGTCTTGGAGGAGACGAGGGTGGCTTAGTCCCCTCTCCTGGCTTCTGGGACCCCCACCAAGGCCACCCAGCTCGAGTGACTGCTCTGCTCTCCTTGCCCCGGCTGGGGACAATCTTTCCCCCCACGGGGCCCCTCCCCTCTCCTCCGCTGAGCCCTGGCCACCGTCCTGGCGCTGCTCTGCAGGAGAAGAAACCAAGAAACCGGCAAGAGGAGAGGGGGCGGCAGTCTGGGCCCCTCTGCTCAGGGCCCGGAGACCCACCTCTCACCTAGCCTGGGCTCGCGCCATTAGGCCCCGAGACGGGCCAACTGGGAACCGGTCAGGGAAGCCCGGCCTCACCACTCGCCTGGCCTTCAGCCTGGGACTGTTCTCCCCGCCACGGCCCCGCAGTCCAAGACAGGGCAGAAGATGCCTGGGCCTCAGGGCTCCAGCTGCGCAGGTGCCCCAGACTGAGGCCGGCCCGGCCAGCGCGCAGCCAGGCGGGCTCAGGGAGAAGCGCGTGGTACTCACAGGTAAGCCGTCAGGGGGTCCAGGTCCCCCGGCACCGCGGAGAGCCCGTGCTCAGAGCAGTCGGCCGACAGCATGATGCCGTCCTCGTGGCAGCGGCAGGGGGCCGGGCAGGCGGGCCGCGGGCCAGGCTGGGGGGCGCACGGGGAGGCGCAGAGTGCGGCGCAGAGCCAGAGGGCGCGGAGCCCGGGTGCGCTGGGCATCGCGGCGGCCGGGAGGGCGGCGGGCACCGGTGGCGCACAGTCAGAGAGGAGCAGGCATCGCTGCTTGGTCTTCACTCCTGGGTTTCACGGGTTGGGCTTGGCAGGGGAGGGCGGAGCCACGGAACTTTCTCGCCTCTCGCTCCCCTTCCCTCCTTCCCTCCGAGCTGGCAGGAATTTCATCCAGGAAAGAAAAAAATCCGGGAATTTCATTTCAACCCGGAGAGCGGAGAGCGGGTCCTGCAGGCGTTTGGGCTGCGGGCTCAGGACCCCGTGCCAGAGCGGACAGCCTCGGGGCCACAGGGGATCGGAGGAGGGCCCCGGAAGCACCTTGTTTGCTCGAGGTCACCCACTTGGGGGGGGGAGCAGCCCCAGAAGTACAACTCGGGGTCACCCGCCGCAGCCTGGCTCCTGGGGAGGGGAGCGAGGGGTTGTCTCGCCAGGTGGGCCGTGAAGGGCCGGAGCCGCGGGGCGGGTGGAGGTCGGGTGGCTACAGGAGGAGACTTCCAGCCGAGCCCCAGGCCCCCCACTAGAGAAGGTGTGACGTCCACTCACAAAGCGTCTTGCACGCGGCCCCAGTCAGGTGGGAGCCCGGGAGCCCTGGACCCTGCTCCCGGGATGGAGCCAGGCGCCCGGCTGGGGGACGCGCCCACCTGGCGGTCCGGACCGGCCCGAGTCGGCAGTCTGGCGCCACCTGGAGGCCAGTCCGGCAGCTGCAGCTCCACCAGCCTGAGGCTGGAAGGGCCAGGCGGGAGGCTTGAGGGCGAGAGACGGTGGCTGATGCTGGGCTCATCCCGGCGCCGGGCCAAGCCCAGGGTGGAGTGAGAGCCGGCCGCGTCTCCTGACCTTACTCTCCCCACACGGTCCATCCTGAGTGTACAGCGGCAGCCTGAAAGCCTCAGCGCAGCCAGTGGCCCTTCATCCAGAACCGTCACCCCCACAGGGCCACTCATCACCCCCCTCCCATTCTCTGCTACTGCTCTCACCTCCCGGGCCCCAGGGGCTGCACGGCTGGGCCAGGAAGGCGGAAACCAAACCAACCGTTGCCCTCTGGGGTGTGGGGCTCGGCCCTGACGTAGATGAGCCCCCAGGAAGGCCTGGGTGGTCCTTGTGCACGGAGGGCCGGAGAGACCACAGGGGTGCTGCCCACTCGGCTGTGTTCCCGGCCTCACTCCCCACTCGCTGCGGCCCTCCTGCTCCTTTGCAGCTCTGGTGCGGGGGCCCTGCTGCCCCCTCAGCATGGCGGGGCCTGGGCCCAGTGCGAGGCTCCAGCCCGCCTACTGGAGGGTCGTCATGGGCCAACCCCGACTCCTGGGAACGAGTGTGCAGAGGGTGTAACCCAGCCCAGGGAGGCCCAGGTGAGCGGGGAGGCTGCCCTGCTCCAGCTTCTGCTGCACAGGCCGCGAGGGCCCTCCCGGCCTCTGACCCCTCGCCTTTCACGAGGAGCTCGGGGCGGCCAAGGAGAGCCCTGCCCCTCCCCGATTCGGGGTCTGACTCCTTTCGGGGCGTCCTGCTCTGGTTTGTGCAGGCTTTCTGTGTCCCCCAGGCCCTCTACCGGGAGCAGCTGGGGCCCCGCCGCTGGCACCAGCCGTCCAGGGCCTCCTGGTTGATGAGGGGACGGATGGGACCTGGTGAGGCCGCGGGTGATGGTGTCGCCACGGTGAGCACTCCTGCCCTCCTTTCTGCTTCTCCTCAGGGTTTTCCCTCCCCAGACTCCCGCACTGTGGTGGAGCGAAGGAGGCAGAGAAAACTCAGCCGCTCTGGCCACGCAGCAGCGAGCCCCCCCGCGCCTGCTGCTGGCGGCGGGAAAGGGGAAGGCCGGGTTGCGGGGGGGGGGGAGCAGGGCCAGGTCGGTCCTGCTGTGCACAGGGCAGTAGCTGTGCCCCCTCACCCCGAGTAACCTGCTCTGAATCCAGGGCCGCCCCCCGGACACTAGAAACTAGATCTGAGGAACAGGGAAACTGGAGGGCGGGGCTGGGGGCTGCCCCGCGAAAGCCACCCACCAGGCCCCCCCAGCCCCGCTCCTGTTTCCCAGCAGGCCCTGGCATGGATGGACAGAACGCACTCGACCTCTGGCTTGACCTCATCCCTTATTCCCCGACTCGGCCCCTTCACGGCACGGGGCCCGGCGGGCATCGGGGGACAGACTCCCGAAAGACGATGTCAGGGCAGAGTGAGGAGGGGGCTGTGTCCGGACCCGCACCCCAAGCCGCGGGGCAGCGGGGTCTCTGCCTGCTCCTCTGGGGCCCCGTCCAGTGGCACCTGCAGTGGCTGAGCGGTGTGCCTAGCTTCTCCACGCCCCAGGAGCAGCACGGGCCCGCGGCAGCCAGGAGGGGCAGCAGGGTCATGGTGGGGAGCTCCTGCCCGGCTCCCCAGACGGCAGCTGCAGCCTCTGCACCGGCCCCTCCTTCCTGCTCCCTCTCTGGGCAAAGACGTTGGCACCGGTGCCTGGAGGGGCCGGGACTGCTCCGCGGAGCCCACCCCCAGCCCACGGCCCTAGCTTACACATGTGATGCTGAGGAGGGTGCAGGGCCAGCCTGCAGCACTGCTCACGGCCACCCAGCGCACGGTCACCGCGTCCGTGGCGACGGGCTGTGACTCCGTGAGGCAGACTGGGTCAGGGCTGCTCAGCCGGCCAGCCCATCCCCACCCAAGCCCCGGTCACACCACAGCCCCACCACAACCCTCAAGCATCCCACCCTCTGCCCCTGTTCCCTCACCTTCTCCCGGGGGTCTGGCAGGCACAGGGAGACCAGCATGCGAGTGCCGTGCTCCCACACCAGCTCCCAGAGCTCTGCGGGCCCCGGTCAGCATGACGTGATCGCGGCCAGAGGGCCCGCCCTGCAAAGCACAGGGTGTCCCCTGCCCATCTCAGCTCTAGGACCCCCAGCCTCCCAGGCCCAGACCAGGAAGCACCAATGGCCCAAGGGCATGGTCCCACGGGGAAGAGCCAGGCTTCGGGCATCTCTCCAGCAGGGCCGTCCTCTGTCGGAGGGGACTGCCCGTGACAACAGCCGTCTGCGGGACGAGGGTAAGGGTGAGGCTGCCGGAGGTCCCAGCCTGGACGACGCCCGATGCCCCGTCCACCCGCAAGCCCACTGGCACTCACGGGAGGCCATGCCGTCCTGCCCACGGCCAGGAGAGGGCATCGCAGAGCCGGCCTGGTCCTTGAGGGCCTGGAGCGGAAGCTGGGGAGGGTGATGGGCAGAGGGGCACCATGAGACAGGCCGCAGAAGTGGTGGCACGAGGGGACCCCGCGTCGTCGTGCCGCCCGGCCCGCAGCTACCTTGTGCTCCCCCAAGAAGCCAGCGTCGCCAGATCACGCCTGGGGAGAAAGCTCCGCACGGGGATGGGCTGCGGCCTGGGCGGGGCGCGGGGCGCGGGCTGCGTCAGGGGTGCCAGAGGCTGCCCAGCTCCCGCTCTTGGTCTCCTCGGCCCTGCGTGGACGGAGCTGGCAGCCTGTTGGTGGGAGGGACGGGGACCCTGCCCCGCACCGGGCCAGGTTCCCGGTGCTGCACGTACTCAGAGGTGCCGGGGGGCCCCTTCCAGGACCCTGCTCAGGAGGCAGCCGTGCAGGAAGATGTACTGGCTCTGGGGGGTGGGAAGGGAGGCGGTCAGCTAAGGGACTGTGGCCCAGCAGGGAGACTTCCAGGCCCTGACCAGCCAGACGGCCTGGGGCAGGGGAGGGGCTTTGGGGAGCCTTCCCGTGGGGCCCCTCCGCATCAGAGCTGGCAGGGGCCCTCCTACCTCCCACCCCCGGCACAAAGGGAAACAGAAGCCCCGATAGGAGGGTGAGTGTCCGAGCCCCTCCCCCGGGGTTCTTCCCTGGCCCCTGGGGACCCTGTGGCCCGGCCATCTGCCCCACCCCCTCCCAGGGTCCGCAGCCCACCCGCCTTGCCCTCACCGGGGTCTGGATCATGAGGGGCCAGTCCAGGCGCAGCGAGCACACCGTGTGGAATAGTCCACTGTATCCTCCTCCCCCAGCTGCTGCAGCAGCCCTGACAGGGCCACAAAGGTGTCCGAGCGGCCCACGCCTGCACTGCGGGTCAGAGGGCCCAGGGCTGTGAAGCGGGGCCCTTCCCTAGCCCACCCCACCACCCGCCACCTGCCCCGCCTGCCTGCACCAGGACGGGCCCCGCTCCTCTCCCGAACAGGGTCCACAAAGGCCAGCAGGGAGCTGGGGGTCTCGGGGACGCTGTGGTCTGGCCGGGTGGCGAACTGCGGTTGCTTCACTGTCCACTGCAGTTGCTGGGCAGCCCGGAGGCTGGGGGGCAGAGGAGCCGCTTCTCCGTCCCCTCCTAACCCACTGTCCTCTGCTCAGCCCTCATTCTGTCACCAGATCTTGAGGGCGGGGTGGTGCCCCTCATGCTGGGATGCTCCCCTCAGCTCCTCCAACCCCCCGGGAAGTCTGCCTGCAGGGGGCCCAAGGGGGAGGGGGACACTGCTGCCCCAGGAGGACACAGCCTGGCATGGCGGATGGGGCCCAGGGGTCTGGGGTGAGCGGGGGCCCTGAGCCGGGTGCAGGACAGGGCAGAAACCGTCCCTTCTCACCCAACTTCGGATGACCCTTAGCCTTCCCTGTGCTTCCCTACCCTCCCTAACCTCCAACCTCCTGGGCAAGGGGGAGGCCAGGGGCCCAGGAGGTGAGCTGACCTTCTAAGGAGTCACAACCCCTCGCTCGCGGGTACGCACGTGCTGCATCTGGAAGTCCCGCGCGGTCCACTCGTCCTCGGGCTCCTCGGCCAGGAGGTGGACGATGTGACCGTGGGTGACAGGGGTGGAGTCGGCTGGCCAGTGGTGCTCACGTAGCACCTAGGGCCAGAGGGATGTGGGCCCCCCCATCACTGCCACCCCTGCTGTATCAGCACCTCCCACCCACCTGTCTGTCTCCGCCACCCTGCTTGTCCGGAAGCCTCTCTCCCCCGGCCCGGCCCTAGCACCTCCACCCCCAGACCTCTATGTGACCCCTGGGACTTCCAGGCAGCTGCCGGGCTCCTGTGCAAACTGCATGGCCTTACTTAGGACCACCTGGCCTGGCCTCTCCGCTCCAGCTGGAGGGGCTCCAAGGTGTCCCAGGGCCCCGCACGGAGCAGGGCACAGGCACGTTTAAAACAAGGACGCAGACTGGGCCTGGAGCAGGGGAGGGTGGTCTCGGCGAGAAACAGCAGAGGCGATGGAGGCGAGTCCAGCTGGGAGCCTGGGTTCCTGGTCTCCTTCCCTGCCCCATCCTGGGCGGCCTGGGGACCCCACCAACCCCCAGGCCTCACCTGGCCTCCCAGACCCACAGCTGGTCCTGTGGGGAGAGCCTGCCACCTGGTGGCCACCCCGGGGGCTGTGGCACGCTCACCCGCCCACTCTCCATGCCCACCGTCAGCATGACGACGACCTGGACCTGCTGCTCCCACGCCAGCTGCCAGAAGTCCTCCAGGGTCTTCTTCAGAAGCCCCTGGGTGGTGATGAACTCCTGTGGGCGGGTGTAGCCCTGGGGGCGGGCAGGATCACATTAACTGGGGCCCCAGCCCACAGCCACGCATCCCACGGGTGACCTCTGGGAGTGAGGACTTCGTGTGCAGGTCGATACGTGTGCACACACGTGAACACACGTGCGCCAAGGACCCAAATCAGGAGGGTGACTTGGAGACAGCCCCACCTCGATGGGACGATGACAAGACACTGATGGCCCCGAAGTAGCCTCCCCAGGCCACCCCTTCACCACCCGACCCACACCACCTGCATTTCTCCCAGGGCTCCACTGCCCACCCAGCTCCCCGAGGCCAGCACTCAGTCCCTCCTCCAACAGCCCCATCTGCCTCTCCTGCCTCCGCCCGATGACCCCGCCCCACTCTGTCCACATGCACCGCCCGGCTCTTCTCTGGGTCTGTCCAGCTGCAATGTCTGCCCCTCCTTCATCACTTATCAGGATTCTGCTCATCCTTCAAGAGATCAAATGCCCCCTCCTCCAGGAAGCCTTTCTTGATTCCAAGGTGGACTAAACGTTCCTTCTTCACGAGCTCTGAGCACCACACGTGTGCCCTTATTACAGCACCCGTCATGCCGCGTGGCAGGTGTCACACACATACACACACACACACACACACAACTCCTGCTCCTTTGAAGGTGGGAATCCGTGTAGCCCAGCCCTGCCTCCTGCGGTCCCAGCACAGCGACCAACACACAAGACACACAAGCTGGCAGTCTTCGTGGACGGCTAGGGCAGGACAGCGTGTCCTGCAAACCGGGCCCCTCCCGAGTGGACGCCGCAGCCAGCGCGCAGGCGGCTCTACCTGCTGGTGGATGAAGCTGGTGTTGACGTAATGGGAGTGAGGCTCTCCGTCCAGCGGGGTCAGCCTGACCCGGCAGTGGTCATCTGCAGACGCTAAAAGCCGCGCATTCAGGGCGGGCACACGCAGCGCCTCCTCCGGGCCGAGCTCCGGCCCGCACACCCCTGCCTGCCATGCTCACAGGGCAGCACGAGAGGGTAGCGGTTCTCGTGGTGTCGGCAGGGTGCAGAGACGGGGGCCGAAGCAGACCCATGTCACCCCCACACCGGGGGCGGGGTCGTGCACAGCTGGGGCCCCCCAGAGCCTGGGGGCGGCAGAGGCCTCACCTCGAACTCCTGAAAGCCTGGTGGGCACAGGTGCTCTTGGCCTCGTAGCCCTGTCGGAAGCTGTGGGCAGGGATGGGCCAGTGGGTCCACCTGGGGGAAGAGGGAAGAGTAGGCGGCGGCCCTGGTGTGCAGAGTCCTGCCCTGGGCGCCGGTAGGGGCCAGAGAGAGGGGGCAGGGCAAACAGGACCACACTCGGAGGAGGTGGGCATGAGTGTCTGAGGCCCCGACCCCGGGTCCTGAGGATGGCTCTGGGCACAGCTGCTCGCAGCGCCGCTCAGGGTGCGGCCGAGAGAAGGAAGAACAGTAGCGATATTGGGAAGATTGCGAAATCCAACGTCGGAGAGAAAGAAGGAGACGGAAGCGACTTGGCCCGCAACCGTCCAGGTGGTCAGTCGGGGACCGAGAGGACGGGAGTCTGGAGGCAGAGGCTGAGGGCCTGGGAGGAGCCGGGGGCCCCTGGGAGCAGGGTGACGAGGGTGTGACAGCGGCTGAGGGCAGGCTCGGCTGGGGGGGCGAGGGATGCAGTCCCGGGCAGACCCCGTCATCACCGAGCCTGTGGAGGGCGGGCCGCCTGCCCCGCCCCACAGGGGCCACACACTCACCGCAGGTTGACCAGCTCCTGGGAGCACAGGTTCTTCTCCGACCTGCAGAGGGTGACGGGGCCTGGGAGGCAGCCTGGGGCTCCCCCAACACGCCGGCCCAGCCCTCCCCGCCGCTCACCTCCGCCCCTGCACTCACCTCCAGCACAGCAGGCCCAGCAAGGCGCCAAGCGCAAGGCCACCGCCCGCTGCGACACCCACCGCTGCTGGGAGGGGCTCTGTGGACGGAGACGGAAGGGTGAGCTGGGCAGCCCCGACCTGCCACCCCGTGAGACACACCAGCCTCCCCTGGGCCCGAGACCCCCTGGGTGGAGGGCGCAGTGACAGCCCTCACCCTGCAGAAGGAAGTCCCAGATGCCGAACCGAGGCCAGAGAAGGCTGCCGGGGGGACCACCCTGGACGGGCACCGAGAACGGCCTGTGAGCCCTCCCTGCCCCCAGCTCCTGAGCAGGGCCCCCCCAACACCCCTGAGGACGAGAGGGCGGAGGCCTGGCCCCGCACCTTCTGGAGCTGCTCCGTCCAGTACGGTCGCCACGTGCCCTGGGCTACTCTACTGAGCACCTGAACCGGAGCGGCTCCGATTTCAGATTCGCCGCAAGCATAAGCTACACACAGGATTTCAAAGTCTTATTGATTAGAAGAAAAGGATGTAAAACCTCTCATTAATCATTTAAAAAAGTCGATCACACGTTGATACGATATCTTTAGTATCTTGGTTTAAATAAAACGTGGCTGAGATTAACGGCACCTGTTTATTTTTCTCTTTGAAACAGAGCTACTGGGAACCACAGATGTGGCTCTCACTTGTGGCCTGCCTTACGTTCCTACTGGTCAGCGCTGCTCCAGGATACGGTGGCCAACCGGGAGCAGCATGGCGGAGGGGAGCCTTGCGGGAGGGTAGAGCGATCGCAGCAGCAGCAAACCGTTTCCTCAATGCCTGTCTTGCCCACTACCCCCAGCCCACCCAGGTCAGGGCTGCCACCAGGAGCACCTCCTTCGCTGGCTCTGGGGCTCCCAGCTCTGTGAGGCAGGACAGGTCCCCGCTGGTAGCTGAGCCTCAGAAGGGAGGTCCCAGCACCCATCCCCACCCCAGGACCCAGCTGGAGTCCTAGCTGGGTGCCCACCTACCTGAGAAGGCTGAGAAGGGGATGAGGGGCTCAGAGCTGTACCTGGTAAAGGCTGCAACGCTGAACCTGTCACAGAGGGGCAGGACCTTCCATTGCGGGGCCGGGGGGGGGGGCGGTGGCAGGCAAAGAGGGCCGCGCCCCTCCCAGGAAACTGAGTCCCGGGCAGCAGATGGTCAGGTAGCAGGAGCCCCCTCGCCTGTTTAGGGCTTGGCGCCCCGTCATCTGAGACTTCAGAGCGAACTCCACCCTCTCCTGGCTTCTCTCCTGCCTCCACTGCCCTATTCTGAGAGCAAGAAGCCCTAGAAACAGGCGCCTGGTATCCTCAGTATAGCCCTAGCAAAGTGAAAGAGAATCCATCCCCTGCTTTGCTGAGAAAAGAACCACGTGGCAGGTGGGCATTCCCCTTTTTGCCTTGCCTACCAGGAAGCTCAGTCAGAATAGCTCTACTGACCCTACTGGACCAGCACATGCTTCCTCTCTATGAATCAGTCCAGCTCTTTTGTTGACACAGGTGTAAACAACACATCAATGAAACTTTCAGTGTCTCCCCCTCCCTTCAGCCTTGGCCCTCACCGATAGCGGGAACCCGGCCTGAGTTGCCCATTACAAACGTCCTGGGTCTGGACACAGTCCTCTGTTCCCACAGGCACCATCCAGGACGTCGGCACGGCCCAGGGCCCCGGGTAGAAGGGGCTGGGGAGCAGGGCGGCCAGGTAGGAGTCACGTCCCCCGTAGTGTTGGTCGTACCAGGTGTGGTTGATGGCGTCACAGGGAGGCTGTGCCGCTAGGAGAGGAACGGGGAGGGGGCGGGGCAGGTGGGCAGTGGGGTGGGGCCTCTCCCCGCCAGAGGGGCTTGCCCGTGTTCTAGACGTGCCCGCCCCCGTTAGTATACCAGTCCCTTCCGCCAGAACGTCCCAGTCCCCCTTCCTGCGCCAAGACTCCCACCGGCCTCAGACATTTCATCTCACCCGTGTCAGCGCCTGGGCCCCTTGCCACCCCTGCCAGGCAGTAGCCAGGGTCCCTCACCCGCCTGGGCTGGGACTCACGCGGCATGTTAGCGGTGGCGATGACGCCATAGCTCTGGATCTGCCCGTCGTCCTCGCCAAACATGCCCTGGGATATCAGCGCGTCCATCCCCATCTCAGGCTCCAGCTGGGGGCCTCGGCCAGCTCGGGGGTGGGGGGTGCCAGGCTGGGGGCGGAGGGGGAGAGTGAGGCCCTGACAGTAGTCCCCAAGGGCAGGGTCATGCCTGCAATGGCAGCTGACTGGACGCACAGAATCCAAACTGGGCTGGGTGCTGGGCACAAGCCCCGCAGGGGGTGTCAAACGAGTGTGGCGTTGGGTCAGGGTCGGGGCCGGGGCTGGGGGCGATGGGGGAGGAAGACTGAGGGACGGGGCCTGAGGCCAAGGGGGCGCCTACCCTCGGCAGCAGTGGCACACACCACGGTGACTTCCCGGCTCCACAGGCCGTTCCTGCCCCGCACGGAGAGGCTGAGGCGGTAGGACATGGCGGGCTCCAGGCGGGACAGCAGGAGGGCATCCCCAGAGGTGTTGGCCTGGAAGACGAGGTGGGCGTCCCCTCCTGCTGCCAGCTGCTCCGCCACCACCGGACACGTGTCCACGTCCCCCTTGGGCACCATCCAGGCCAGGGCCAGGCGGGCGACCTTGGGCTGGCACTGCACGTCCTCCACTGGGTCGGGCTCTGCGAGTTCAAGGGTTCCACGTTGCGTGGGAGTCAGCGCAGCCCCAGAGGTGGTCAAAGTCAGAGGCGCAGAGGGACCAGGCATTTCTGTCCCTGGAAAGGGGCAGCGGCCACAGGGAGAAATAAGTCTCCTCGGGACCTGACGCCCATCTGGAGAGCGAGGGGCATCCTGAGGACGGGTGGGCACGGCACACACCCAGACGAGCAGGGCTGGGACAGGATGGGCAGCGCTCAGGGTGCTCTGCTCCCCCTGACAGACACCGACGTACCCACGGGCAGCAGCACCAGGTGCGTGGAGGACTGGAGCGGCCCCGCCGGGCAGAGCACGGACAGGGAGAGGTTGAGTCCAGGTGTGTGCGGCACACTCCGTGCCCCAGGCGGCCGCTGGCCCAGGCCAGGCTGACCACAGCACTGCCCGCCTGCATGGACACCAGCAGCTTGGTGGGCACCAGTGGGGCTGTGGGGAGGAGAGCAGGACGCCTGTGACCCCACGCAGGGCCCTCGGGGTGCAGGTGGGACGGGCGACTGGGGGGCAGCAGTGCCACCGAGGGAGGGAGCAGGGGTCCAGGGGCGGCCCTGCCGCTGCTCCTCCCCTGGCCGTTCCAATGCCACTCACAGGCCCAGCCGGAGGCGCCGGCTGTTGCCACATGGAGGGGCCCGGCCTGTGCGACCACCTGCACCTCGTACTCAGTGCCCGGAGTCAGAGCTGAGAGACTGGCACCATCCACCTGGGCCCCCACGGGGCTGGAGCCCACCGGGACGCCTGCCTGGTACAGGGTCCCCCGGTAGCCGTCCCGGCCCCACGGCGTGTGGACCCAGGATGCCCGGGGCTGGGGGGGGCCTTCACTGGCCACACTTACCAGAGGGGGGGTGAGGGGGGCTGCGGGGACAACAGGGTCGGGGGGAGAGAAGGGAGGTGTCATGGCCTGAACTGTGTCCCCCCAAATTCAAGTTGAAGTCCAGACCCTCAGGACCTCATAGCGTGACTGTATTTGGAGATTCGGTCCCTAAAGAGGTGAGGAGGGTAAAAGGTCATCGGTGCGGGCCCTGACCCAGAGGGGCTGGAACGCAGACACTGAGGGACAGCCGTCCACTCGCCGAGGACTCTGCCAGCCTGGGTCTCAGACCTGTGGCCACGGAACTGGGGACGCCTCCCCCGTGCGGGGACTGGGGACTTGCTGAGGGCAGCTCTAGTGCGGGGTGAAGAGCACAGCCCCGATCATGGCTCCTTCCTCCCGAAAGGGCCCCACTTGGCCCTCCACCCTTGGCCCAGTCGCGAAACACCGGTTCAGGTGACCAGTGAGAGGAGATTCTACCCGTGGGGAGGCAGACCGCCTCCCGACTTCCCCAGACAGCAGAGCACACGCCCCGGCCATGCTGAGTGAGCGCATCGATCACTGCTCTCCCAGCCAGATGGGGCGGCCAGGGGGTTACACGCAGAGCCTTTTCCGGGCCCAGCCCCAGCTCTGACAGCCCCCCGAGTGGGTGGATAGGTTAAAGGGCAGGCAGTGTCTGGGGTCCAGGCGGGGCCCCTCCACCCTCCCCTTGGGCCCAGGGACTGGGGTCACCTGGTGGACCCCTCCTTTGTAAACTGAGGCTCAAAGAGGCACAGGCCTGATCTGGGTCTGAGCCAGTCAGAGCCCCTGGCCGGAGCTTTCCTACCCCTCCCAGGCCGGTCCGAGGTCTCAGGGTCCTGGGAGGGGTAGGAGGGCAGGGCGGGCAGTGGGGGCCACCACACTGGAGAAGGATGACGCTGGGCAAGGAGACCCCACTGTGGCCCGGCTCCACCTAGCAGGCCTCGGGCCTCTGGGAGGGGCTTCCTGGCCCAGCCTCCCGGCTCTGGGCCTCCGGGCCTCACCGTGTGACCCGTCCTGTACTTCAGGAACTGTGACCCTTCCTGGGGCCCCCCAACCCCCCCTTCTTTCTGGGGTTGTTACGTGGCCAGGAGCGTGGACCCTGGGCCACACGGCCCGCACGTGAACCCCGACGCCCCACTGAGGACTGAGAGCCTGCCCTGTGTTTGGCTTCCTCCTCCGTGAGACGGAGGCCTCCTGGATGTTGTTTAAGTGAGGGAACACTGAGCAAGGGGCCCGGGGGGCCTGGCAGCCAGTCTTCTGGTCCACCCAGTCCCCACCTCCCTGCCGCTGGTCATTAGAGAGCTCGAGGGCCCAGCCCATGTCACCGCCCGGGAGCAAAGCCCAGGTTCTGCCTGCCTTCCTGGTGCCAGAAGGGCCAGGCCCCGGGGGCTCTCGGCCAGGGCGAGGGGTGTCCTGGTGCCCGAGGGAGCAACCATAGTCAGCCCAGCGGCCTGCTCACGGACCACAGGGAGGTCAGGGCGCCGTGCAGCCCCTGGGACCCACTGAGCAAGGGTGGCCTGTGAGGCAGGGCCATGCGGAGGGCACTCATGTGTCCAGCCTGTGGCACTGGTGCCGCTGCTCTTGTCCAGCCCCTGCAGGGTGGACAGCCACGCCAGGAACTCGGTGCCCGGAGCCGGCTGGGCCCAGGAGAAGTCTGTGCCTCGGGGGCCAGGGTCTCCTCACCCTCCAGAGCCAGGGGGCTCAGGCGGTACAGCCACAGGAGGAAGCCGTCCCTGCCCCCGACGGGGGTGGGGGGTGCTGCAGACAGCCCGCAGGGCAGGGGGCTGGGCGGCCAGGCCCAGGCTCAGGTTGGCGGGAGGCGCAGGGACTGCGGGACAGGAAGAAACGGATTTGGAACAACCCAGCGCCCGCCCCTCCTGCTGCGTCGTCTGCTCCCTGCTCACTGGCCTCCAGGCACAGCTAGCCACCAGGCTCCAGCCCGCTCCTTCCTTCCCTCCCAGGAAAACCTCTTGGATGACACGGTCTCCGCCCTGATGCCTGCGCCCCACCTGCTTCCCAGACCATCAGCTCCTGGAGGATGACGTCTGGTCCACCTGGTCCCCACCAGCACCCAGCGCCTG